TAGGCAGAAAGATAAAAGTTTCTCCATTCTAAGAAGAAGGGAGAGTAGCTTTTATGCTTTATGATAGGTCTTAATGATTAAGAACCATATCTCAATTGATCCTCTAAGTGAGTCTTAGTACAATTGTATGTTTAAGAAGAGGAATCAAAGATTGAAGAAATGGTCAAATCAAGAAGTCAATCATACTTCGTTCCAAAACAAGTCTTAAAGTCAAGATTGTGACATTGAGTGAATAGTATTAAGAAGGTTTATAACATTCATCAATTGTGGAAAGTTGTGATGTCTTGGATAAGACAAAGACCAACTAAGACCAAAATTATGAAGTGTTTTGTTTTGATATAAGCTACACTAACTCTTGAATATTTGTTTGTCAAGAAATGTTTTGATAAGAGAATCGTATATGTCAAGGAGTCAGTGGGAGTCTTAATAGTCTTGAAAAGTTTCAAGAACAAATCAAATAAACCTTATCGATCATCACTAGCACACGAGTTGAGGTTTACAACCTATCGTGAAGACATTATTTTGTTTCTGTGCCAATCCAATCGAGTTAATTATGCATATGAGTCCTATGAGTTCTCATTTGAATGCATAAAAGGCAAGGACCTTGATCAATGGAAAGTACATTGATAGGAAAAGGTGAGCTGCTTAACTACTTGGAAGACGTGGTGGGCAGCTGTGCTACCATAAGGCAAGAAATCAAGATTAAGAAAGTTCGATCCATATGAGTTTGAATTTGTCGTAAACTTTGGTTTTAACAAATTCACATGGATAGGAACACATACACCGTTTAAATCTAAGTGTCATAAGATTTCCTCCTTCATGAAAATGATTGTGAGAAAATGCTTTCACTAAGAAAGATTTTAAAAGATAGTGATTGTAAAATTGCATTCTCGAATTCGATCATGGTTACGACATCCCTTTCCATAATTTGAATTGTGAGGTTTGGCAATTAGTCTTAATTGTTAAGACACACATATGAACTATCTAAGGCAAAAGTGTATAAGTTCAAGAAGCCTTGATAAAAGATTATCAAAGCACTAAGTATTAGAAACATGAACTTAAGAAATTCAATAAGTATTGTTTTTCTGAAAGTTAAGATGTTTATGAATACATGTCGAAGCTAGTGGGAGCATAAGTGTTATGTTTTATAATAATCATCATGATAGTGGGAGCATAAAAGTTATGATTGTATGATTATTAAGGAAAGTATTGCAAGTTGGCAATATTAATTATAGAAAACAAGAGTTATACTTGCAAAGTCGTAAGGTTGAATTGTTTTGCTATAATTAAGGGAGAGAATATTATGCTTCATTTCAAATCTAAAGGATTAGGTTGTGGAATGTTAATAAATTTAGTCAAAGGTACATAGTGTGTTCTTAAAATTTCGATTATGATTACGGCATTCCTCTTCACAATTCGAATTTTGAGAACATAGCAAATAAAACATTGTGCATCGTGTCCCATACGCTTCGGGTATAGGATCGATTGCAAATGCTTTAATGTTTGACCATTCTAAAATTTTCCAAATGTCTAGCGCATTTAGAGGGAAAAGGGACTAGAATCGGTTTTGACTAAAATAATTAAACAACTATCAAAGGACAATCCAAAGTTCGACGAGGATTGGTCGCTTGTGAGTAGTTGGAAGTATAGTATTGGAAATTATGGAAATGTTTCCATATTGGATGGACAATATCGACATCATTACGAATAGATAAGATTCTATTAAGAAATTAGTTGTCATATGGAAAATATGGAAGCGTGTCCATATTGGGAAGTAAATATTGAAAATCTATGACTAGATTAGAAACCTTTATGCAAAAGGATGTTCAAAGGAATGTACTTTGAGTGAGAGACATCATATCTAAGGAATTGTCTTGTAACAATCTCGATAGAGGACTTTGTAATATCATTGGCAATAGTCTTTGAGACTTTGGTGCAGTGACATTACAAAAGGATCGTTGCATAAGTGTTAGAATCTAGTATATTCTATAAGTAACAAGAATTTGATATTCTTACACTTAAGAAAATGGATTTGGAGTTGTAAAATGAGAATGATTGGAAATGTGTTCAATTTGTCTATTTCACAAAAGTAAGAACCATAGGTAAACATTGTGTGCATGCTAGGAGCATGGGACAAGTGTAATGATTCAAGTAAAAGTTGATTACCCGAAACGACAAATAATGAGTAATCGATATGGTGATAAATAAAACGTGTTTTGTTTATACTCAAAGGTTTGAGGCCATATGGGATTAGTATTATTCTTGTGTTTCACTTGCATGTTTTGACTTCCAGAATAATTGAGTTTATTAAGAATAATCGAATTATTCAAACGGGCCACAGTCGTTCATATGTTGGAAGTAGATATGAATGAAGACTGTCGTGAATTGGTGTGTGGATTGTCTAGAAAAGTATTAGACATAAGCAAATGTTTGCTGCAACGTTCATGAGTGCTTATGAATATGATTTGAGCATTGGATTAAACCCACGCTCACTTGGATCACTATCTCGAGTGATTAGTGAGACGATAACATCTTATATTCTTGAAACCGAGATGTGTGAGTTGTATCTTGCTGAATCGGTTGCACATTGATAATATGTAAACGCACCAGTAACTTGGTGTTATAAAACATATTGTTGTGTGTAATTCGGTGAGTGAGTGCAAGCGAGCATTGTATCAAAGTTTATCCGTTCCTTTTATCCAAAGTAGGATAAAAGCGATATCTTTGGGCCCCTCGATGGTTTAGTGATGACATACGTAAATGCTCGGCCGGGCTAGGGCTAATTTGATTTGTTCAATTAGTCTGTCGTCATAAATCGGAAATCGAGATATAGTACAAAGAGAATGATTTGAAATCATATCTCATACGATATCTAGAATGGAGGAATATATGATCCCTTATCTAAGGACACGCGTATCTGATATGATCAGAGTTGACAGCGGCTTTGGAAAGCTACGATTGCAGATCAGGATCTGAAGTCATACGCAGAATAGTTGTTAGACTTATCCAAGTGGGAGACTGTTGGATTAGTGTCTAAGTCCATAACTATTTTGGTATGTACTTGACCCGATGGTGCATGGTCCTTTTGGGTTGCCTTCACCAAAGCAACTTGATTGGAGAAATGAATAAAGAGAGAGAGGATAATATGATTTATTAATATGTTATAAGAATAATATATTAAAGGAGAAATCATATTTGTTTAATTAATATTGGTCAATAATTAATTAAGAATTAGTTTTGTGATCAAATGTAATTAATTAAACTAGAGGGGCTGATTTGTAATTATGTGATAGTTACAAAATAAGGTAAGGATTATCTTATTTATATGGTGGACGAATTTAAGGTTGGAAAGCCTTAGAATTCGAGTATGATAAGGATTCAAGGATTATCTTATTGGTTGCTTAATGGATAATCAACTAGATAAGGATAATGACTGAAACCCTATCTCTACACCTATATAAACACCCCTAGGGTCATGAATTCGTGTATCCCTTCCCAAGAGGTCCTAGATACGAATTCTAACCTCTCACCTCTCTCTTTATACCTTCTCCATTTGCTTATGGTGTTTGTAAGCCATTAGAGGAGTGACACTTGTGACTCTAAGCATTCCAAAGTCAATCCAAGGTGGAGTTGTGATTGTTATTGCTATATAACAATCAAGGTATGTTCTTAAACCTAATTATATGTTAATGTTGATTTCCATATGTTAGAATTAGGGTTTATAGTCTTGGATTCAAAGCATGTACAATAGAGAAACCTATATCCAAGCATTAGGGTTTGTATGAGCACATAGGATGTCTTATGACCAAAACCCATCACATTATACATTGATAAAAATAGTGGTAAATATCTATCAACATTTTAATATCCCCAATAACATACAAAGATATGACATTTAACAACATCGAATTCTCCAATAGCTCAAAGCTTAAATTGATATATAAGGTAAGTTATAAGTTATCCATTTGTCACATACATCATGTTAAACATGATATATGGATGGCAATCAATTTTTTCTATTGTTCAACTTTTGGTAATGTGCATTAGATGCTTAACTGTCAACACATAAAATGAACAAGTCCCTTATTGACTACATACATCTCTTATGTAGTTCATATTATATCTAATAATAGCATTTATAACTGTGTGGTAAAAAATGACGTTTCACCATATCAAAACATTGCATTCCATACATTCACGTCCAAAATATGTATCTCAAGACTGAAATACAAAGATATTACGTTTACTAAATATTACACATGATAGCCAACTATAAAGTGATCTTGAGATATGTCATGCCCAATACTAGTTCTCCAACAAGTATTTATGAACTTTGTTGCAACACTTTGTCACTTTCATCTTAGTCCGATGCTCCAACGCATGCTCCAAAATCCCCGATAACCTTGCCAAATGCCCGACCACATTGTGGACATACAATTATTTAGCAAATGAAGCATTCTCTTGAACGAGATCATTCTCTTTATTGCCCTTCACTCACCAGGAGGATATATATTCTTTTTCTCATCGATCATTCACTCATCAGGAGGGCATTCTCTCTCTGACCATTCTAATAAAGTATTCAAACCCTAATAGTAAATGGGTAGGATATTTTGTGGTGATTATGGAAGAGACTAAAGGAAAGGAGAGGGATGGTGAGGAAAGTTGTGTGGACAAAAGTTGTGTGGACAGGGCTTGTTTTGTTTATAATAAGTTATAAATGATACATAAATCAATATAAAGCTTTCAGAAAGTCTTGCATTTTGAATTGAATATGACTAACACCCAAACAAAAAAACAAAGTAGAAAGATTGTTCTAGTGAAAGTAATAGATAAATGACAACTTGCACATTATCCGACCAATGAACGGTTTATGTAATTTATTCTAGAACTTATAGTACTCTAGAACTAGAAAAAGAAAAATTATCTAAATAAAGACCATCCTATATTTTTCTGTAGATAGTGTCACCCATTTGTATGGCAAGTGCCTTTCGCCTACCAACATGGAAACACCATTCTCTTCTCTCTTCGCACTATGCTCTCTTCTTTCTGCAATTACGTACTGCTGCTTGATTTACAATGCAACGTTATTCCATAAACTCCGGTGCTTCCTCCTCCCACTCCTGTCCGGTGATGATGCACCGCCAACTTACGCTGTCATTGGCTGCCTGATTTCCTTCTACAAGAACCGCCACCGTCTACTGTCGTGGTACACGGATCTACTCTCTGCATCACCAACCCAGACGGTGGTGATACGCCGCCTTGGTGCTCGGAAAACCATCATTACGGCCAACCCAGAAAATGTTGAATACATGCTTAAAACAAATTTCATTAACTTCCCAAAAGGAAAGCCTTTCACTGATATTCTTAATGATTTTCTTGGGTGTGGGATTTTCAATGTCGATGGAGAGCTCTGGCACGCTCAGCGTAAGTTAGCAAGCCACCAATTCTCCTCCAAATCGTTGAAAGAGCACGTGGAAACGATCGTGAAGGAATCTGTAAAAATGAAGCTTTTTCCGTTACTAGATTCTCTGGCCGGCGGTAAGGCGGTGGACTTACAGGAGGTGTTGAGACGGCTGGGGTTTGATATTGTTTGTAGACTCTCATCAGGGTTTGATCCATGTTGTTTGGGAGATGAACATTGTCTCTCCGACGAAGTGGAAATCTTGAAAGCGTTTGACAAGGCGGGGGAGATAAGTGCAAAACGGGAGGCGACACCCATCTCCACCGCTTGGAAGTTAAAGAAAGTGTTGGGAGTTGGGTCGGAGAAAGTCTTAAAAGATTCCGTGAAAAAGATTCATGATTTCATAAGCAAAATAGTTGATGAGCGAAAGAAAAACATAACTAAATCTGAAAGTAAAGATTTATTAAGTAGAATGATAATGGATGGTGTAAGTGAAGACGTTATAAGGGATATGTTAATCAGTTTCATCATGGCAGGAAGAGACACGACGTCGGCGGCGATGACATGGCTTTTTTATGCACTATCCCGGCATTCCCAGGTAGAAGAAAAGCTTGTAAAGGAAATAGGGTTTCAATTCAAAGAAGATGAATATGAAAACCTTAAAGAAATGAAGTATTTACAGACTTGTCTTTGTGAAACCATGAGGCTATACCCGCCGGTTGCTTGGGACTCGAAGCACGCCGTCTATGACGACATGTTGCCGGACGGGACTCCGGTGAAAGCCGGCGATAGGGTCACGTATTTTTCATACGGAATGGGAAGGATGGAGAAGATATGGGGGATGGACCGGTTGGAGTTTAGACCGGACCGGTGGTTTGATTGTAAGCCGGATGAGAATGGAGGGACATTGTATTTGAAGGAGGTATCGCCGTTCAAGTTCCCGGTTTTCCATGCCGGTCCAAGGGTTTGTATTGGGAAAGGGTTGGCTAATGTTCAGATGAGTTATGTGGTAGCTTCGATCGTGAAACGGTTCGAGATCAGACCGGTGGTTTCAAGGGAGGAGGCGGTGTATTTGCCGTTATTGACGGCGCATATGGACGGCGGGTTGAAGGTGTTCATACGGAGGAGACAGCAACGGACTGCTGCCACCTGTCATGATAACAAGATAAAGAAGAATTTATTTGAAACTACAAGTTAATATTAAATGTCTACGTCCTACAAGCCTTATACTTATTGTCTATTTGTGTTTTTAATTTATCATGTATATGCCATCTTCTTTAATCAAATAGCAAACAATAAAATATATATTTGTAATTTTATTGAAATGTTAAGCGTATTTTATGATCATTTAATAGGATTAATTTGATATAATTCTTTTATATAATATAATAAACTGATCAGTTATTAATTGGTAGAAAAATTAGCTATAAGTTTCTTGTTTTGTACAACTTGATAGTTTTTAAATGTTGATATATTATTCCCTCTTTTGTCGAACTTTGGTTGCCCATGAACAGTTCAATACAAGCTAGTACACAAATAATCATAAGACTACCCATATGAGAACATGCACATGTGCACGTATTCCGTTTCACTAAACAAATACGAGATAGAAATAAGTTTACAATCAATAATATCTCACAAGAGTATTGTCGACAACATTATGATTCAAGTAGTTCATTTATCCTACAAACATACTCATTGTCTACCGTAGAGCTAGATTCAAAGATCTTGTATACTTACTTTATATTCATAAAGAAAGAAAACAGTGAGCTTTAAGATGCATTTATGAGACTACTATATATTTATAGGCGGTTCATTTTCTACATCTGAAAAGCCGCGATATATATAATTTTTTTATATTTAATTATTATTAAAAGGTAGTTAGTATTATTTTTTATTTAATTATTATTGGAGCGTAAGAATTTACTCGGCGAATAAAAACAAAACCGCTGTCTATCTTAGAAATTGTATACTTTAAATTCAAAAGAATCAATATTAAGCAGTAGCACTATTTGTGGGCATTTGTTCTTCTACATCTCAAAAAACACGATGTATATACATTTTAATATTATTATATATCATTGCAACGTAGGTATTAAGCACTATGGCCACGTCAAGAGAGAAGGGCAGGGGTAAATGTAAGGCCAAGAGTTCCATGCACGTAGATAAAAAGATAACATGATGAATATAAAATACGTAGGGGGCACATGTGTTATTAATTTTTCCACAATAATTGAGACTTAAACTATAAAGAAAGACACGCATACCATTGCATGACCACATGGACTAATGGCCAACTCAAGCTAGCATTGAACTTCAAAGTTTTTAATGGGTAGCAACCTAGAAGTACAACCATTCACTACAAGTACAACCATCCACTATTGACATTTCAACTATATATGCCATCAAAACAGGTTAAAAAAATATATCCAATCTCCAGTTACATGATTCCTGACAATGAATTATCTTCATATGTTTTACTAAACTCAACCTTGTTGATGATTGGAGTTTATCATATACATGCATCACCATGGCAAACTTATGTATGGATAAGCTCCAAAATCGATCATTCCGTTTCACTACTCTTACCAAGCCTTCATTATTAAACACAATATATCCATGAATGTCAATAATACTATTAGGATCATATATATATATATACATATACACATACATACATACACACGTAGAGTGAGACCGTCATACACGACCACATACATACACCAGGCTAAACCATAATAAACTACCCAAGATACATAAACAATCACTATGCAAAACATATATACATTAACATCCCCCACAATCGAAACTGAGAACATTTAGAGTGGATTAAAGAAGATGTTTGTGTACCGAAAGAAAGTGTATAACTTGAATGTGACCAAAACAACTTTGTCTAGGACAAAGTGAATCTCAATATTAATATGTTTGGTGTGCTGATATTGCACCGGGTTGGTAGATGTAACACTAGATTCTTATAATTTATATATTAAGAAAGATTTACTACCTTTATTGGTTGAATACAGGATTAAGTCATGTATTTTAGTAAAGTATATGAAAGATAGATATAAAGTATGAGTTTGTGTGTAGTTTTAAGGGGATGCATAACGTATATCCTTTGGTATATGAGACTGTAAATCGAAATATAACCCCTTTTAGCATAAGACATGTAAAAGAGAGTTAGTTGACTCAAATTAGAATGCATTGATATAAAGAATATCGAAATCCGAGTTTGAATGAAGAAGTTGTGTCTATCCGAAGTTGAGATAAAAATGTAGCGACACCGCGATGCGAGAAAAGGAAACCGCAACGCGAACGTATGTCAAAATTTTTAAAAAATGCATATTTTAAAGGTTAAGTCGCAATTTTATCCCATTTTTCGTACCTACACTTCAGAGAACTGAAGAGGGTCGAATGATCGCGAATTTGGAGAGCAAGTGGTGCAAATTGAAACTATATATGATCCAAAGGAATTCATGGACATGAATTTTAAAGTGAATCCTTCTTCTTCCTTACGCATTTATTAGTGTTTTTTTGGTGAAATTGGAAGAGGGTTTACAAACCCTAGAATCATATTACGTTTGATTAGGTAGTAATCTTGAAGGTTTGAGCTTGGTAACATGATTAGTATACAATTCTATGCTAAAAATTTGAAATTGAGCTTGTAATCAAGCTTTTATGAAATGGAGAAGTTGATGAATAATAACTTGAATATTTTTGTGAATCATGATATAAATGAAATTGAACTTGTATCTTGATGAATTAAGTCATATAGATGCCTTATAGGTGAAGTATAAATGATTTTGACTTAATGAATTTAGACATGTAATTAACTCACGCTTTAATGACTTATACCTTGAGCTATAATCTTGAAATGGTAATATGGTTATTAAATTATGTTTGGTTCATGTCTTAAGTGATTATGACATGTAGATATTATCTTAATAGAGTATGGTTGATTTGGAGGAGAAGGGGACAATAAAGCTTAATGAAAGCATTAAGTCAAGTTGATGAATAAATGGATTATGTATTGAGTTGTAATACTCAAATATGGCATGTTGTTGTAACGGTTTCAGGAGATAGGATTAAAGACATGATCATAAGTATCAAAATTTCAACTGATCAATAAATCAATCAAGGTGAGCAACCACACTTTTCTTTTAGATAAATGTTATCTAAATGTCCGTTTATTATTGTATTGGGTACGTAATAAATACAATATTATGGTTATTGGGAATTGATATGTTACGGTTTAGGAGTTTATTGAATTATGTGTGGTTGAAAGTTTCATTATACTGGTATGAATGGGTTTGATAGTAGGTCGATTATTGCTATGTGAGGTAATGAACAAAATTAATTGAATTATAGATAAACTATGTTATGTGAGATAAATAGCAAGTTCATTCATAATTATTATGAGCAAAACTTGTCATATATGTAGGATATGATCATATATGATTCCTTCTATAAAAATTTAGTTGTATTGAGATACACATTATGAATTGTTGTGGAGAGTGAAACCTAATAGTCTTGGTGACCGTAAGCTAAGGTTCAAGATGGCTTTATACTGTGGGGTACTATTGGTGACCCTAATATCCCGAATGAAAGCTATTGAATTTAGTGGTAGTCTTGGTGACCGAAATACCAATATATTGGAAATTGTTGGTCATAGTAGTCTTGGTGATTGTAATACCATTCAATAGTATGATGGTAGTCTTGGTAACTGTAACACCATCACCAACGGAAAATACGATTCAATGTTGAAATTGGTGTCTATAACACTATACTTATATATCGTTGTTGGAGAATTACAAATCAATGCTAGACTTGGTATTTGTAATGTTATACTTGTAAGATTGTTATTGGAGAATAGTGGTAGATTACGTAGTTTTGATACTACCGAGTAAAGTTTATTTGGACTTGGTAGTAGCATGCGTAGTTGTAAGTCTACTATGGATAGTTAATAGTTGGATTAAAAGCTTAATTAGTTGTAATCTTGATTTTTATGGAAATTATGTAATAACACTGAGTATGAGTGTATGTTGAATTCTTTGAAAGCACTATAAAAATGGTATTGATTTATAATTGATATATTTAGTTATATAATTAGTTAGTATTATGTTGATAAGGTCATTCATTAAGCTTGTTGTTGCATATATATATTTTTTGTTGTAAGGTCACACCTTATGATCTGATGAATTAAACACATGACATGCTGATTTATTAGTGTCAACGTCTGCACATTGACATGGCCAATGTATCAAATTTACCAGCATCGACTTATAGTTTAGTTATCTGATTGTAATCTTTGTATATTAGTTAATGATATGGATAAGTATAAAATAGATCACAAATCCAGTATCTTTTAGATAAGACTAGTTCTTAGTATAGATTAGATACAGTCCTATCAATCATGGGATATACATGTATAGATTAGTATATATACAACATTAGGGAAAACCTTAATATTGTGGAACATGGCTTTGTGTCAATCGTCTTTGTGACAAATCCATCTTCTTGGTGAAGACAAAAACCTCTTTTATTAGTTAAAGGAATAATTTAGAGAGCTTCAGTGTTATTTACTTTCTATTGATTATTTTTACATTTCTTATTTATACTTGAAGTGTATCCGATCATCACAAACCTTAAATTGGTATCAGAGCAGGTTTATGATACACTCAAGTAATCATGTTGAATTCTTTTGTTCCTAACTTATTTGTATGTAACAAGATCCCTCTGTTTGATAAATACAAGCTCTCTGATTAAAAATGAAAGGCCATGGAAGTTCTAGAGTTCATGGATTTCGATATGCTCGACGTGGTCAACAAAGGTCTTATGGCTTCTATGCGTCAATGTAACACCCTATTTCAAATCATTTCCCATTTTAGATTAACAATTAGGGACTGGGTATTAGCGGGCTTGGGACCCTTGAAGAATTGAGATTCAGACTCATTTAGGGTTGGATAATGAAGAATTGAGATTGGAAATCAAAGGCCATGGAAGTTCTAGAGTTCATGGATTGCGATATGATCGACGTTGTCAACAAATGTCCTATAGCTTCTATGCATCAATGTAACACCCTATTTCGAATCGTTTCCCATTTTGTAGTAATAATTATGGATTGTGTATTAGCGGGATTAGGACCCTTGAAGAATTGAGATTTGGACTCATTTAGGGTTGGATAATGCAAATTGGATGATT